AACATTTTATATAAGTAAATGAAGTTCTATTTACACAGTGTAAGTGTAAACACCTGGGATTGAAAATAATTTAAAACCATTAGAAAATATCATGGCCAACAGAAGTAGTTGAAAAAACCGGAATTTAATATTGAAAAAAAAAACTAATATATATGTAAATAACTTCTTGATTAAATATTGGTCATAAGAGGATAAAGACATGAAAGTAAGGAAAGACAAAAGAAAAAAAAAGAACTTAAAAGTTTTGAATAAAAAACAATGGACAAAAATAGAATAGAATTAAGATGATATATTCACAGCAATATTTGGACAGATCATATCAAACTCAAAAACAAATACAATTTCAGATATAAAATTATTAAATACTAATGGTGCTAGAGATAGGAAAAGTTCAAGAAAATTGTTTCCCTTAAAATTACCAGGAATTCCAGATAATATAAGAAAAATCAACAGCTCATTTAATATATCTATAACAAAAGTAGAACAAATTATCAACCTAGGATATCAGATGACCAATACAAATAACCCAGCTCATCAAGGCAATAAATGAAACAGATAAAACCAAGAATTACCGATATACAGCATCAAACGAACCAAGGGAAAATTCACTCATGCAAATAAAATCCTTGCACAAACAAATCCATCAAAAGAAAAGGTCAAGTATCCCAAAAAAAAATTCAATAAAATAACATTTGTATTACTAAAAAAAAATAGTAGTTGATAAAGTAAGAGCAAAAACATAAAAAATAAATAAATAAATAAACAATAAAAGTTAAGGGCAAATGATGTAACCCATGAAAAATACGAGGCTTTGTAAAAATAATTCTTTTGAAAAGTTTTATTAGTAAAATAATTTTTTAAAAATTTTTATTCTTTCTTCATAAAAAAAATAAAAAGAGTTCATTTTACTAATTTCACTTTATTGAATAGTCATTCTAGCATATTGTCCTGAAAAATACGCAAAATGCATAACAAAAAATGTACAACAAAGAAAAAATTTGAGACACGAAGATCAAACGCAGAAGAAAAATGAAGCATAAACCCCAAAGGACAGATGCAGGATTCCAACCAAAACCAACCAAAAGAGATAAGTCAAAGCACCTGCGAAAAAAGAGGGGAAAAAAGCAACTCAGAAGGCAAAAGCCGAGAAAGAAAGCAAACATAGTGTTCCACGGCTATTTAATGACCACAAAACCCACACCAGAATTAAACCCCAATCAAAACTAAGGAAAGAAAATATATGAAATCAACAGCAAAACAGGAAAAGGGAAAAAAAACCACCAAAGTCGCGGAGAAGATCCAAACTAAGAAATAAAGCAAAAGTAAGGTTTCATAGACATGAAATAAGCACAAAACCCACACCAGAAACTCCAAGCAAAAGCAAGAAGAAGAGATGGATGAGATGAAGATCAAAACAGGAAAAGAAAAAAAAAAGCCAAACGACACAAAGCAAAAGGACACCAAATTACTGAAGGACTTTCAGAGGAAGAAAGCGAGTTTTGGAGTCCGGAGAAGCCACCACGATAGAGGCGGAGACCTTTGTCTCTGCGTCTGCGCTCGCCGGAGGGGAGAGAGAGAGAGGATTTCAGGGGCACGTATTGTACGTGCATAGGGAAGTATCGAGAAAGGAATAGAGAGCTCCATATGCACATACAACACACTGTAGGCCCAGAAAAGACCAAAAACCCTCTGCCCAAAAACGGAGGAAAAGAAAACAAAAAGAGCAAAACTGTTTATGCTTAAAATTTAAATTTTACTATAATAAAAAATTTTTATAAACAGTCACATTTAATTTTTTTATTACAGTAAAAAATTTTCACATAAAATCACATCTTAATTTAAATTAAAAATTTAAATTAATAAACTGAATGAGCCCATAATAATTTTATGATTTTTTGTCTTTTTTTTAAGTCTGAGGAGACGTTTAATTTATGGATTAGAACTATATAATTAGAATTATTTTTTATTTATGTGTATTTTTTATAAGAGAAAATATTATAACGAATCACGAACTATAATTTAAATTAGGAAACGAATCCCCTAACTAAGGCCCCGTTTATTTCGTCGATTCGAGTTTAGAATTCGAGTTTTGTTACAGTAAAAAACTCTCAGAAACAGTCACATCTAACTTTTTTACTACAATAAAAAATTCTGACATAAAATCACATCTTAACTCGAATTACAAATTCAAATTAACCAAGTGAACGGACCCTAAATAACCTCTGAGGTTACTATAAAAGGACCAATCCCCGAAGACAATGAAAATGTTGGGACTCAAAATGCAATTTATCATTTGCAAATTGCAATAAAACCCCGTTAGAAAATCGGGCGGGCTTGTCCAGAACTGGGTTAGGGTTCAAGTCAGTCAGCGCTAAACCCCGCAAATCCCTTCTCTCTCTTGAATCTCGTTTCTCTCTCCTCTCACCAAAAACCCTCCATTGTTTGTTTGTTCCTCTCTCTGAGAGAAATACCACAAAAAAATGAGCTCTTGGAAGACTCTTCTTCTTCGAATCGGCGACAAATGCCCAGAGTACAGCCCCTCCTCCGACTTCAAAGACCATGTTGTCCGTACCTCTCTATATATATATATATGTATATATAGTTGTATTTGTCGTCTTTCTCGTTCAAATTCCCTACTTGTTTTGTTCCAGAGCTTGAAACACTACTTGCAATATTCAAAATTTGCAGGAAACATGCTATGGCGTGCTTCGGCGAGAGCTCGAGCCCTCTTCTAATGACATTTTGCCCGTAATTACTTTGTTTTCTGATTCAATTTTGTATTTTTGGTATCAAAGAATAGTTATATCTGCGAATTTGTTGATCTCATTTTGGTTTTTACTGTGTTTGTTCGTTGTGACAGCTCCTTCTTCAGTGTGCTGAACAATTGCCTCACAAGATTCCCTTTTATGCGACAGTGGTAGAGTATTCAATTTTTTTTTTTTTGAAATCCTTTGCAAAGTATGATTCTGTTTATTTGCTGAATTTAGCTCCTTTTTTTTTTTATACCCAGAAATCCCCCAGACCCACTTTACGAGTCCGAATTTAGCTCCGTTCTTTAGAATTCTTTGATCAGAGTTACTTGTTTATACTAGGGAGAGAAACTTTTTTAGAATTCAAAATGTGATAGAATAAGGTGAAAATGTTGGTATGATCTCTTTTAAGCTTGAAGGTTCTGTTTTCCCCTTAGTCCTTACTTGAAGTGCTATTTTTGTTGCCGATAAGCCTCCCCTGCGTTTTACTTACATCAGGCAAAAGCAGGCTAGGAAAAGATTGGGGAAGGAATTGGTGCAGAGCGTAGAAGCTTTGGTGACAGCACGAATGTTGAGTTCGTAAGTGAGGAGGCGCAGTTTGGTTGCTGCGATTTTGGAGAGGTCTAGAAGTTGCACTGGGATTGGGGAATAGAGGAGTTAGCAGTTTGTTTGTTAGAACTTAGTTGGTTAGGGCCTAGGGGCAGGGAGAATAAAACGTGAGTCTGGGAGTCAGTGCGGGGCATTGATCATTTCCTGAGCATTGTGAATTTAGACGAGCTTTTGTTACACGGAGTGCAGTGTGTCACTCGAATACCTGCTTATCCTTGTGTTTCTTTCATTTTTTCAATTGAAAGTAATCAGAAACCACTTTTTTATCAACTAGTTATTTTGTTGTGAATCTGTGAATTGTTTTTGAACCAAATTCTTATCAGATACATTGGGGGTCCATCAAAAATATAAGACCTACTGGTGATTCTATTATGCTTCATCAGTTACAAGAATCTATTGATCTCTACACCTGTTTTCCTTTGAAGTTGCATAGTTCATATTGACCTTAATCTGTGTTGGTGACTGTAAATTATAATTTGTTTATTGTTATCAATAATTAATCCTTGCATGTAAGTAACCTTAATTAGGATGAAAGAAAAATGAGAACGGTCAGAAATGTGTTTTGCACTTTGGAGATTATGTACAACTTCAAGTGTAGACTGTGTGGTGATTTCAAGAACAAATTAAGACAAGGATTAACCTCTTGTTCTGTTTGGCATTGACTTTGAGATACATTTAAAGATATACCAAGTAAAACTTTGTAATAAGTGGAGGAAAAAGTAGAATTTCAGTCTCCCAAGCTAAAAATCTTATATAGTAGTAAGTATTACATAATTACAATGCATTACACTACTCAACGCATAAATTTTTATTTAATTCATCTTGTTGTTGGCTCTTTAAGTTTTGTGGCTGCATCTATCACGTTTAAAGTTCGAAATGATGCTGCCATTGGGGTGGAATTTACAAATACACTGTACTTATGATCTATTACTTGCATATTTGTAGAAAAGAATGTTTATATATATATATATTTTTTTTTTTTTCTTTTTTTTTTGTTGGAGAAAACAGCGATTATTTGCATCTCTAACAATTCTTGCTGTTGATTCTAATAATTTTCTTTCTTTCTTTCTTTCTCTAGATTGGCTTGTTAAACTTGGAAAATGAAGACTTTGTTAGGAAAGTAGTTGAGAAAACTCAAACCAACTTTCAGGTAAGCAAGTCTTATGTTCAGTTTGCCCTCAAAGTGTTGACTTGAGTGTCAAACTAGTGGATAATCACAATCTTAAAACGATGTCAATTATTTTTCTTTTTCAGTGTTGATTTTTCCCACAGTTATTCCGGAAAGGGATGCTGCAGAATAACCTGGAGAATAAGATTTGAATTTTAGATCTTTTCTGTATAATATTTTTATAGTACATGCACTATCAAGTTCGTGGTTTGGGAATGGCTTTTCTGCTGATATGTGCACTTTTAACTTTTATATGAGTTCTTGAAGCCCAATCTTTAATGGTCATTTAACTAGGTGACATCTGATGTAGCTAACTTGCCTTAGATATATGTCAGATAGAAGTAAATTTGACGTAGTCGTTGTTGGAAGTGGAGTGAGAGTCTATTTTCATAAAAAATGCTGATCACTAGGTGTCCAATTGTGGATTTGAATATTGATGCTGGCTCCTTGCCAGTGGTTGTAGATAAAGAATTTGCAATGATTCTAAGAGGCCAATTCTCTTCGTGAATGATCATTATTAGGTTTGTATTTGTATGGTTGCTGAGATGGTTATAAATGATCCTCTAGCTTTATTAGGAGAAGTGAAAGATTACACTTTTAATGCCCTTGATGTATTCCTTTTCCTTTTTTTCCATTAAGTGACCTCTTTCATTTGACTCTATCTTTATCAGGATGCTTTATACTCGGGAAATTGCATCAAGATTCGAATTCTAATGAGGTTCTTGACTTCTATGGTATGTAACTTACAGTGTTTTGTAATTTATCTGATTTCGAGCAATGATTGATCAGTGGCAGTTGTCCTATCCAATAAACAGACTAAAACGTAAAGGAAACTCTGCAACTAAGTCAAATATATGTCATAGGACCCTTGTACTCTTTCGTTTGTAGTTTGATTCAATTATTGATATAAAGAGCTTTCTTATTAAAAAATAAAAAAAATAAAAAAATAAAAAAAACTAAGTCATATATATATTGTTGATTGATGGGCTTATATTCGTAGCACCTTCTGAAGATTTTTCATCTTGAATCTGAATGCAATGATTTTCAAGTTTTATCATAAAGTTGACATTGGATGAGTCATGGACTCAACTATTAGCTTGTTCTTTTCCATATTGGGATCTTTGTTTGTTTGTTTTTTTTTTTTTTTTTCAACTTCCAAATAAGAAACGGATGTTTTTGTTGAATTATAAACTCAATTGTTATATTTCTTTTCTGAGTGAGTTCTGATATGAATATTACTTGTGTACTATTTGCTCCATTTGGTTGGACTTTTCCCGTCTTCCATTTTGGTTTCAACTGGTAAAAGTATATTTTTTTCTCCTTTTATCAGAGGAATAGAATAGGATAAAGTTATTATCCTTTTTTTCTCCAGGCTTGGCCAAGTATTTTTTTCACTTTTATGATTAATTCAGTTATGGATGTTGGTCTTTAATCATGTTCATCGTGCCTTAGATAATTACATAACTGTAGTAGTGCATTTACGTCACATTTTCTTGTTGTAACTTGTGATTAATCTTTCTTCTATAGATGTGCAGTAAAGTTATCCAGCCTAGTTCCCTGGTTGTTGTTTTTGAGACGCTATTGTCAGCAGCTGCCACAACAGTTGACGAGGAGAAGGGGAATCCAGCCTGGCAAGCACAAGCTGACTTTTATATTACATGCATCTTATCTTGTCTCCCATGGGGAGGAGCAGAACTAACTGAGGTACTACCATTTTTGTGCTTAATAAACATATTCTCATTCAGGTGGCAATTGGCATTGCAGAATGTATTTTTGTATTATTTGGTATGAAAGATAGTTACAGAGAACACAGATTGAGCGCTTAGTATTTATATCTTCCACTCATTATTGCTTTTACTCTACGCTTTTAGTTTCATATGTTGTCCCATAGTTTATATCTTCCACTCAATCTTGGTTGATGTGATGGCACATCAATATGCAGCAAGTTCCTGAGGAGATTGAAAGAGTTATAGTCGGGATAGAAGCTTATTTGAGTATCAGAAGTCGCGCTTCTGAAAGCGGGCTGTCTTTTTTTGAGGATGATGGTGAGAGTGAAAAGACAAATAATGATAAGGTACACTTTTATGCCAAATATTATTTATTTTCAGAGGGTAAATTACTTTTATTATAAGAATGCAGTGTATTTTCTTTTTACTATTCTCTTTATTATGAGAATGCAGTGCATTTGATTAGTACCATTCTCTTTGTTTAGATCTATCCATGTTCTCCCTACTGTACTTTTCTTTTTATCTTAATCAAAATTTCTCAGTTGACAAATCAAGGAAAAAAAAATCTCTCTTGATCCTGCATAAACGTGTTTTTTCAACTTTGGCGGCGTTAGAGAGTCGGTGTTTTTTTTTCCCCTTTGGTCAGAATCAATTGTTCTGATACTAAATTGTTAGGTACCTAGGTTTTCCACAGCCAAACATACACATCAATCCCGAAATTGACAAGGAATTGGATAGAAATAAGGGAATTCTTTTATTGAAAACCACTAGCCCATCCCCAATTACACTGCCAAACACTACTAAACGGAAAAGTAAAGGATAGAACGGAGAATTCGAGTACTCCAAGGACTCCTAATTTGGTGGTATTCGAGAGACCACCGCTCTCCCTAATCTCAGTCTCCCAAAACTCTCAAAATCACCACCTCCCCTAGTGAGCTACTTAGCCCTTTATTTATACTAATTCCTACTAACTATACCAACCCACTAACCAAACACCTTCCCAAGTCATTAACAGATCCTAACATTACCCCCACCCCAAAGAAACACCTTGTCCTCAAGGTGTTAAGTAATCGCAATCGTGTGACTCCACTTCCTTCCAATCTTGATGAGCTTGGATCTTGGAACGTCGAACGGAATGATTCGTACAGAACTTGCTTCAAATGTTCTTGTTAACTCTATTTTTTCAACTTCACACTTTTGTTTGGAGCTGAAATTGAGAACCACTTTAAAGGCAGCGAAACCATGAAGTTCAGCCTCAAAATCATCCTTGTAGCAATGGAAGACTTTGTTGGTCAGCTCAAACAATTCATTTATAACAAAAACCTTCCTCCCACAAGCATTATCTTGCTACAGTGCATGTTCCACCACGCCAGAGAAAGCTGCCTTGTTGTTTGTCAGAACATCAACAATGGAGGGCAGCTGCAAGTGTACACTCTCCATTTTTTTGTCAACAGCCCCAAAATTGCTGCAAACAGAATCAAATTCATCTTTTAAAATACAAGAATGGACTCCACTGTTAACTTCTTTCACTGGTGCAGCAAACTCCGACTCTATAGTAACATCCTTGAAAAATTTTGATGTCATTGACATCTTGTTTCCCATATCTTGAAGCCCTTCATTACTAGCACCAAATTGAAAATCAACTTCATTTTCAATGCATTGGTCCACTGATAAGAGCTGAACCGATTTGGGAACAAAATCAAGAAAACTAGTGCGCGCGATTTCTTCCCCGGCCAGACTTTCCCAGCCATCCACACCTCGGCGTTTTCCCCACTCCCCTTCCCTGGAAACCCTAGGTTCGGCCGACTCACCCAGATCGCGGCCGTCCTCCTCCACCAAACCCGCAACATCGCAAGTTAAACCTTGTCCCAACCCTGCCTCTTCTTCCTGAACCCTCGCGGCGCCTAAACGAGAACCTTCTGCCAGCCGATTCGCCGCCACCGCCGCGGTCAGCAGTCGCATCTGCTCCTCCAACAACCAGCGCAGATCTGACACGTTCTGGTTCATTTCAGCCCTGCTATGGTTCATTTCAGCCCTGTTATGGTTCATTTCAACCCTAACCTCTCCAATTTCTTTTTCCACCGAAGCCTGGACTTGTTGAATCTCTTTCTCCACCGCCTCGAATTTCTCCTCCGTTTTCCTGGCCGCCATAATCACCCAGAAACGATGCTCTGATACCAAAATGATAAGAGCTGAACCAATTTGGGAACAAAATCAAGAAAATATTGAAAGAAAGAAGAAAAGAATCAACTAGAGACTTTATTAATGTTAGCACATGTACACCAATACGCGGAACTTCGAGGGTCCGCTTCCTTCCCGTACTTGGAATGTTTCCAAGATTTGTACAACAAACTGATTATCCCCAACGATCCTTCTTTCTGTTACCCTCCCCCTTTTATACATTCTTATAAGCCGTTACTCAGGCAAGTGTACATTAGGAAGAGCAAAGGCTTAGGAACGGGCCGGGCTTGATCGTGGGAGAGTTGTTTTTAGCCTTAAGTGGGAACTCGTAGTATTAGAAGTATACTTACTGTGATAGCTGGCAGTGGGAGGGGAAATTAGGTGGAATGTATAAAAGGAGAAGGAAGAGGAGTGGAAGGGTTACGGGACAAATAATCAGGAAGTAGACAAGACTTGGAATCATTCCAAGCAAGGGGAGGAAGCAGATGCTCGAAGATCTGCGTATCATTGTATAGATTCTATCGATTAATAAAGTTCCTACGTTGATTCTTGTGATTCTTGAATTCACTCATACTTTGACCTGATTCCAAACACCAAAGGCTCTATCATTTGGTATCAGAGCAGAATTTTTTCTGGGAGTTAATGGCGGCGAGGAAAACAGAGAAGAAGTTCGACGCAATGGAAAAGGAGATCCAGCAGGTTAGGGCTTCGGTGGAGAAGGAAATCGGAGAGGTAAGGGCCGAAATCAACCATAACGTGGCAGAGGTGAGCCAGAATGTGTTGGAATTGCGACGACTAGTGGAGGAGCAGATGTGACTGCTAACCGCGGCGGCGACGACGGTTCCACCGGCGGAGGGCTCACGATCTGGAGCCGCGAGAACTCGGGAAGATGAAGTAGGGGTGGCCCAAGGTGTAAATCGTGAAATCACGGGTCGATTAGAGGAGGACGGAGAGATCGCGCGTGTTAGGGCTCGGGAGGCAAACGGAATCCGACCGGACTTCCATCGCGACGGTCGTAATGGTCGACCCAGGGATGGCGAGACCGGCGACGGAGACAGAAATCTCCATGAGGGCGGCGCGGCAATTATCGCTTCGGAGGAACCACCGAGGACGCTCGGGACTGGCGCGGAGGTCGAGATGTTGAAGGAGGTGGTGGTAATCGCGCTAGACACGGTGGACCCAGGCTGAGGATGGACGGTCGACACGAGGGAGGTCGATTCGGGAATGGTGGCAGAGATAACCGACGACGCTGGGAAGAGAATGAGGCTGGAGAGTCCATGGATTTTTTGGGGACTTACGGGGAACCGTGGGGAGGTGAAGAATTTTCCCCAGTTAGGAGGAAGCAGCTGGATTGTCCATTATTCAGTGGAATAGACCCGGATGGCTGGTTGTTTAAGATGAACCAGTACTTTTCTATCAACAGATTTTCTGATAAAGAGAAGCTAATCACAGCGGGAATAGCTTTGGAAGGAGATGCTTTATCGTGGTTCCAATGGCAGAACCAACATCGACCTTTCATCACGTGGATCGATTTTAAGGTGGCTCTTTTACAACGCTTTCGTTCGTCACAGGAAGGGAATTTGTGTGAGCGTTTTTTAGCGATTAAGCAAACGGGAACGGTGGCCGAGTATCGACAGAACTTCGAGGCATCGGCCGCTCCTTTACAAGAGGTGCCGGAGGAGATTCTTGAAGGCATTTTTATAAATGGGTTGAGGGCTGACATCCGGGCTGAATTGCGTTTACTCAAGCCGGAGGGACTCTCGGAAATCATGGACATGGCGCAGAGGATTGAGGAGAAAAATATGTTGCTGCGAAGGGAGATGGGAGGGTCTCGGGTTTGGCGTTCTCCAGCGGCGGGCTTCACAGCCAATCCGTCTGTGGGAAACACGGCAAATCAGCCCCAAGGCAATCCAATTCAGTCCCAAAGCATTCCGATCGTTGAGAGACCGAGAAAGGACTTTCCGTTTCGGAAGTTGTCCGACTCGGAGTGGCAAGAGAAGAGGAATCGAGGGCTTTGTTTTCGTTGCGACGAAAAGTTTACGGTTGGGTATCGCTGTAAAAAAAAGAGTTGCGAATCATGTTAGTTAGCGATGAGGATGATTGGGAAAACCAGGAAATCGATTTGGAGGAGACAAAGGGGGAGCCAGAAGATTTGCTACGGACGGAGGTGATTAAGTTGTCGTTGAATTCCGTAGTAGGATTGACCACACCAAAGACCATGAAGATAAAAGGGGAGATTGGCCACCGCGAGGTAATTGTTTTAATAGATTCCGGTGCTACGCACAATTTTATTTCCCTTACATTGGTGTCCGATCTATCATTGCCAATAACTCCTACAACCGGTTTTGGGGTCCAAACGAGCACGGGGGAGTTGGTACAAGGGCAGGGACTATGCAAGGAGGTGGTGTTAACCATGCAAAACTTAACTATAATTGAGAATTTCTTGCCGCTTAAGTTGGGGGGAATAGACGTGATTTTAGGGATGCAATGGCTTGAGACTTTGGGTAGTATGCATGTCAATTGGAAGACTCAAGCCATGAGGTTCAAGGTGCAAGGGGAAAGTGTAATGTTGAAAGGGGATGTTAGCCTCACTAGGTCGTTAATTTCCCTTAAGGCCATGATGCGTACCATACGTCATGAAGGCCAGGAAATTTATTTAGAGATGAGCCACTTGGGTGTGGAGCAAATCATTGAAGTTGAGGAAGGAGGCAATGAGCAGCTGCGAGGGTTATTGCATAAACATGCGGCTGTTTTGGACATGCCAGCCGGATTACCACCACATAGGGTGAGGGATCATCGCATAATCTTAGAGGAAGGCACGAGGCCAATTAGCATTTGCCCCTACCAGTACCCACATTTTCAAAAGAATGAAATCGAAAAATTAGTAAAAGAGATGTTGGCGGCAGGGATCATACAACCAAGCACGAGTCCTTTCTCTAGCCCGGTCTTGTTAGTTAAGAAGAAGGACGGCAGTTGGAGATTCTGTGTGGATTATCGGGCGTTAAACAAAGCCACGGTCCCGGATAAGTTTCCAATTCCGGTGATCGAGGAGTTACTAGACGAGTTGTGTGGCGCCACTATTTTCACCAAGTTGGATTTGAAAGCGGATACCACCAAATCCGTATGTGTGATGCGGACATACCAAAGACAGCTTTTCACACCCCCGAAGGGCACTATGAGTTCCTTGTTATGCCGTTAGGGTTGACAAATGCACCGGCCACATTTCAATCCTTGATGAATGAGGTGTTAAAGCCATTCTTGCGTCACTTTGTGTTGGTCTT